GCATATCGAATGTAATAACTGTATACTTATTTCAAAGCTTTATGGGATGGCGGGCGATATCTAAACGGTAGAGCATATACCAATGAGATAATCCTGATACCCAGAATCCTGCAGATGAAATGCAGTTCCCAGTGTCGAGCTTAGAGTTCGAGCGGATAATGAGGATTGGCTCAAGTCTAGGTAGTCAATTGTACCCTCGGCGCCCACACGAGGAATTGTATAGTCAAAAGTGCACTGACGCATGCCGTGTTCATAGTTTACCGTTTATCCATTCGCACAGGATGGTTCGGTCGTTTAACTTTATATTCCCAACGATTGTTGCACCCCGCTTGCACATTGTGTAAGCGGTATGTGAAGGATGATATTGGTGGTACACTGAAACCGTAATGTTTGGACATACAGTAGAGGAACAGAGCGAGCAAGACAACAGTACAGAGCTAACAACGAGGATCGACGAGGTTTCTACCTAATGAAGGGAAGGGTCATATATGTATGCGGAGCGAGGGTGGGACGGATGGACGGAGTATACACCACATTCGACTTCGAAAGTCCGAAGATGTGAGCATAGAGGCCCTATTCCAGTCCAGAAACGTTGATCCGGCCAGGATCAGACATCCTCAACATTCAAAAATGGCGGTAGACCCGAAGGTATAACCAATTTGCCTTCGACCAGAGGATCACGAAGTCGCGTAAGGATAGACTTATCCCACTTCGTCACTGGAGGTAGGGCGTCGTCTGTTGCTTGAAGAGACTCCATGAGATATTGGAGAGTTGGTCGTTTCGAAGGTTCGTGAGCCCAGCATTGTACCATAAGGTTCCACCATAAATCAGTCTCCAACAGGTACCTCGGAAGTGGGGGATGCTCCTTCTGGACGCAGACATTCATGATAACGGCGCCATCAGGTAGGCTGCCCCAAGGTATCGACCCGTCGAATACCTTGTAGAGGGTCAGAATCAATCAATGGGTGTGAAGTCTCCTGGAACGCGTACCTCAAAATACGCACAAGCCAGTGAATATACATCAGCTGAAAAGCTGTTAGGATTGGCGTTGAGGACCTCTGGTGCCTGCCATCTTACGGTGCCACCCTTCCGCGATGACGATGAAGTTCCAAAGGTTGTAACACCCATCACGAAGGATATACCAAAATCCGCAATAACCGCCCTGTGGTCGTCGGTAATCAGGATGTTATCCTTAGTTCGGTTAAGCGCGATGGATATCTGGAAAAAATGCTATGAAACGCACCCCTTTTAGGTCACCATGAACGATGGACATTTTATGTAGGTAACCCATACCACGCGTGATGTCTAGAGCCTACTCATTTATTAGAAATATGTTGAGGAAGAAATGAATAGTTCGATTCTTACGAGTGTGTGTCGATTAGGATTGGTAATATTGCTCAGATATTGACGGAGAGATCCGTTGACCATGAATGGCGACACCAGACAGTAGGAAAAAGGAGCAGCATCGCGGTAAATGCCATAGAAAGGTAGTACATTAGGGTGATCGCACCGCCCCCAGATAATAGCCTCTCGTCTTATTTTCTATAGACAAGAAACGTTATACTGACTCTTTGACTCGTGAGAAGACGAGGCAACGTACCCGCAGAACTTCCTTGATATTACTATCACTTGTGAATATTCTTGCTTGTTTGACGGCAACTCCCATTCCGCCGACCTCGCCTTTCCACAACTCACCAAACTGTCCTAGAGCAAACGGATAATCGCCTGTCTTTTTGAAGCCTCTGAGCATGATACATCGAGGTACGCAGTCGTACATGCGCGATAACTTGAGGGAAGTCTTGAGAAAAGTGTGTTTGTATGACAATGGAAGACCCTGTATATCTAGAAGCTATCCGATGCCGAGTTAACGATAAAACTTTCGATAGAAAACAGCTCCTACATCCTGAAGAAAATCCAAAGTTGATTGCGCTTGCTTAACAGTTATATCTGATAATTGGTCATCTGATTTAGAAAGTGCCGTTACGACCTGCTCTGCCATTTTGTCTGTCGTAGCATCGAGAACGTGTATGGGTTCCGACTCTGGCCTGTACACGTCTAGAAGCGCGTCTACAATAGCCTGCCCCTGTGGGCAACTGGAGTATAAGACATGTGAAGGGAATCTCACCTCGTCCCTCCGACTCTCATCTCCGACCGAAGAGAAAGTGCTGATGTTGGCTTCTCTCATGTTTTGCTCGACTTCTGAAAAGTGAGGGCCGAAATACGCTGTGTTCCGCATGGCTGAATCAGACGTTTGATGTGCGGTTCTGTGCTCGCTCAGTTCAACACCTTGAAAAGCATTCAAAGCTTTGGTGAATTAGGTTAGGTGAATGCTTCGGCATATGCGAATGAAACAAACTAACCTGGAGAGTGACCATAATAACGGTCGTCGCTGTGGGGTGGTCGGAAACAGTGTGTATCTGCAGGATACAGAACCCCTTCTTCATCATCTTCACGTCGGACTCTGTCTTGACTAGGTGTTGAGTACGGGCTGCTTGGAAATGTGGGCTGCTTCGACGGTGTCTTGTGACTGACGTAGACAGGTACACCGATAGCCTCTATGTGGGAGGATTCCGTGGATGAAGTGGATCCAGGTATCCAGCTAGGTGGGCTTGGGGGAAGACTAAGATCCCGGACCAGCGTTGGTGATCGTCCATTTTCTTCCTCTTCGACAATGGTACTTATCTCCCTTGCTGACTGCAATGGATCCTGTACTGTCACCACATCGGAGACAAAGGATGCCTCCATCCTCTCTGGGCTGGCCCTAGTAGGGGGGAAATAACTTGGGGAGCTTCTTCTCCTCTTTCTAGGTACTCGCGCCGCATTACGGAGAACAAATGCCCTCATCTGCTCTGGACTCGGGCTGCTAGCAGGGGAGGGAGAATTTGGGGTCGTGTACTTCGCCCTAGCATCAGGCAGTCGTGGCTGAGGTGTTTGAGGTGATAGCGTAGGGGGTAAGGCGGAAGATAGTGGCGTCGATCCGGGAACGAGGGCATCGGTGTAAGTTGTGAGATAATCAGAGTCAGAAGGAACGGGAGAATATGTCGAGGAATTCAATTTACGTCGCTTCCTTGTAGGTGTTGGTATATTCGTTACACGATTAGGATCTGCTTCTTTAAATCTCGAAGTCAAAGGATATCGATCGGGCAGTAATCGTTTGCGCAAAGGGGTGTCCTTTACAGCGGTTTTCATAATTATGTGGAATTCCCGTTTTGAAAATCTATGTGGTCCTATTTGCACCGCATGTCGGCCCGGTACGCGAAGCGCCTTTTGACATGATTTCACTAGTTTACATTCAAAAAGCACATTTATGTACCTTATACTGCACTTATATTTTGTTGGATTAGGATGTATCAATGAAAGACCTTTTCCCATGTAGTAAGGTCAAAGTACGCTGCTAATACCAAAGGATTGCCAGCACAGGACAGACGTCGAGTCTGACAAAGTCAAGAGACCGAAGCTTACGGATACCATCTGGATATGGAGATGCCAGGTCCAACAATATTAATTGAGGAGTATAGCAGCATGTAGTGCTTGAGGATGCCACTTTCGTATATGGAGTGAGCACAGAATGACAAAGGCTGGATTCTTGAAGGTTTTGCCTCACTCGGAGTCCTGCTTGAAGAGTGCAACGTCGCTATATGCCATGTCATAGGAGCAGAATGCAGTTGATAAACATCTTGAGGTCTTCAGAAATACAATATAGGCATCGTAAAATAGACAATACTGTCGTGCCGTGCGACGACGGCACGACAGTGGTGGGAAGAGAAAGGGCCGGGGCCTTGCGATCCAAATACGACCACATAATTTTTCAAAATCGGAATTCCACATAATTATGGTAAGACCAGAACCTCATCTTCTTCAGCTGTCAGGTCATGATCGAGTATCAGAGAGTTGGAGCCAATTGGACAAGGAAGAGTCATACGTACCTCCGGTGAGCACAAGTTTGTGCATTGCTACTAATCTGACTCCTGAGCGCAAGTTGCAATGTGGGTGTTACGGCTGAAGACCCTCCCGCTGGAGCCTTTGCCAGCTGTAGAAGTGATAGGGAATTACGTTTCTCTCAGTTTTCCGGCATCGACACGGCCCGCAAAAGTTGCCCCAGAAGTTTTGATGGAGGAACGAACAATTCACTACAGTTTCCTAAATCTGCCATGATTGTAAATGTACATTCGTCTCTGTTCGCTCACCTACCAGCGCCCGCCAGCCTTGTAAAACCTGTCAATATCAAACTCCTCCTTCCAAATCTGCTGATTCCGAGTCCTGTGTATACAGGTCTTGGTCTTATGCAGTCTGAGGGTTTCGGTGGCGGTGCATTTTCATTACCTCCGAGGTTTCCCCGGGAATATATGTCATCTTGTTTCGGCAACATCGGCATGATCGGCATCGATCTTACCCCCTGTTTTCAATATCTGTTCGAAATTCTTATGTCAGTCAATGACGGTCATTCGTGTTAACGTGTTCTAACGAAAACGACAACGACTCTCAGTACCAGGACCCGGCTTTACGCTTCAGGATCCTGTTACCGCAGGATTCTTTTTCGCTTTGTCTTTCTCTCTGTCGACTTTCTCCTTCAGACTATTATTATGGACTGTTCGCTCTTTTGTCCTGTTAGTATTGCATCGCAAATATGGATTTATTGAGCGCATCGTCCTTCCAGTAATCTCAATATCGAGGTCCGAGTCGTCGAGAACCATAATCCCTCGTAGGTACGAGGTCCCTCCGTTTCCACAGCATCGATATCAAGCCCCAGATTTTGAAAACTCGAGGCCGGAAAGGAGACGACATCTCTGACAGTGTGAGCTCGTCGCATCATCCATTGTAATCCACCAGTTTTCTTCCCGAGCTGCTATGTAATGACTCGTTTCTAGGGCCGATTCTCCTCAAAATCAACATATTTTTCGAGGACAGCGTGATGTGAGGAGCAATACCGGCGAACCCGACTGTACAGCACTTCGCTGTGGAGTGCTATGTAGATTCTGGGAAGGTAATAATCCGCCGAGATGACACATTTCCTCCCGGAGAGCAATGGTACGGACTGTTTATCGTTCTTGTGCTATTTTGACTAACGATGTTCTGTAGGTTTGGACTTTCAATCTTCGTGTCGCCATCTTGTGGCTGTGAAAGCCTGAGTTCTGTTCTCTGTCGCGTGCTGAACTGGACTCAAGATGTTCATGATAATCAAGCTTCGAGGGCACATTGAGGAGGGATCGATGCCTGGAGAGCAATGGAACGCTTACCTACGTGCCGCGTTCATTCCTCGTAAGTCCATGTTCACTGCTACATCATTCCCACACTCAATACCTATGTATTTAGCTCCCGAGATCGTGTTGAGTATACGGATCGACGTTCCGCATGCGACGTAAAGTGCTCATTAGGACATTTATAAGTTACTTTTACTCATTTTAAATCAAGATCAATACATTTTCTCTCAAGACCGGCGCGTTGCGGGGAGCAATACCGGCTCCCTAGCATGAACCGAGGTGTGCGGCACTGCACGGTGGAGTGTACCGTAGGGTATGGGAGGTTAATATTGCTCCGAGGCAACATATCTCTTTCTGGCGAGCGACGGTATGAACTATTCAGAATTCCTGTGCCATTTTTACTAACATTTTGTAGGCTTTGACTTTCGGTCCTCGTATTGTCACTATGGGACTGCGAAGACCGGAATCGTGTTCTACGAATGCCTTCGTTGCGCGCTGAACCATACACAAGATGTTAACGGTGATCTTCGAGAACACGATGAGATCATAGACCGATGTCCGAGGGGGGAAGGGTACAGATACATATGTGCCTTCTTCATTTATCATGAGTTTGTACTCCTTTCCCCACCATTGCCATACTCAACGCCCATCCATTCAAGTCCCAAGACCCGTCGGCTTGACTAAACGGAGCTCGATAAAAAGATAAACCTCAGATCGATGAATGAAAACGTACCTTGACCACTTCAGTACAAGTCTCGCCCTGACAGGGACAAGAAGCAAGTATTACGACAGCAAATTTTGCATGCTTCCAACCAGTTCTCGTGACATATCGAGTGATGCGATCTATAGTATGGCTTTTCACGAGTTTTCAGCCTGAAGACAAACGAAATGCAACTAATCTGCTCACGAGTCTTTGGGTGCCAGATCTTCATCTCAGGCGACTTATCTTTCTTTTTCTACATGTACTTAAGCCCGGTGACCATGGCAGTATCAAACGGCTCACTGACTCTTGCCTGAGCTGCCGAAATAGACCACAAACAAAGTGCGTCCTTTCCTCTCTTTGATGCTTACCATGTAAAGTTTTAACCTACATTCAGTGCAAACTCAAGTGGCTACACTGTCATTGACAATACCTCAAGTGCTTCCCTCCCACACACACAGGACTCGGATATGCCACGCTCTGCGCTGGCCCACCACTTCATCACTTATTGGAGATTCGCGTCTGGCTGCAAAGCGCACCCCTTTGCGCAAACATTTCTTCGACCTGGGCTTGTCTCCGAGACCTACCAAAGAAGCGGATGCCTATTCGATTAGTAGCGAGAGTCGTATAAACAAGTGCACCATCACCTACAAGTAACTTGAAGCTGTGGCGATGCTAGTCATCCATCCTGCTACAACGACACATGCTCGCTCAACTGAACGAGGAGGAGCAGAAAGATTCCGGTGCTGTGACTCCCGACCTAATTCGGGTAAGTTTACGCTCGATAACGCACATTTCTTCTTGTTAACCTTCTTCGGTCCAGGTTTCTGTCGGCATTGAAGCTATTTCAGATATCATTGCTGATTTCCAGGCAGCGCTAGAAACTGTCAAAGACAGTAGCATGAATTCCTTTAAGGGCATATCGAATGTAATAACTGTATACTTATTTTATAGCTTTATGGGATGACGGACGATATCTAAACGGTAGAGCATATACCAATGAGATAATCCTGATACCCAGAATCCTGCAGATGAGCCAGTGTAGAGCTTAGAGCTCATAACGAATATGCAAGCGGGTTGCGCAGCTGCCAGCGGTTGGGAAGCGTACATTAAGTTGAAGGACCGGCGAACCGTCTTGTGCAGATGGCTGCCGACAAGGCTGACTTAATTGAAGCACTTGTAGATGAGCGGCCCTCTTACCACATATTTGCGCTGTATTCATGGACAAACGGTAAGCTATGGATACGTGCGTTAGTGCACGTTCGACCATACAATTCCCTCGTCTGGGCGCCGAGGGTGCAGTTTACCTAGACTTGAGCCAATCTTCATTATTCGCTCTTCATTATCCTTGTGCAAGCGTTATGAGTGAGTGAGAGATGATATTACCGTAATTTTTGGAAATACAGTAGAAGAACAAAGCAAGACAGCCAGTGAACTAACGAGAATCGATGAGCCTTCTGGTATCTAACGAAGCTAAGGATCACGTATATATGGGGTGAGGGCGGGACAGATGTATGGATCACATCTCACTTTGAAGGTCCAAAGATGCGGGTACCAGCACTGTTCCGATCCCGTAACGCTGATCGAACCTGGATCAGTCAAGCGGGAGAGGGGGAGGCGAAAGCGAAGACAGTAGAACAGTGGAAGAAACGGTGGGAAGGGAACCCGAAATACGGCCGCTTCGCAACGGCAAACAGGATCCCACCATCATTGAAGCCCACACGCCACCTTTGCGACTTGGCAGGCAAGCGCGAGTTATTCGGCCGGGTTCTACAATGCCGCACAGGACACGGATATATAGGCGAGTACTACTCCCAATTTGTACCATCCGAGAACGTTGACTGCCCATGCGGCGAAAGGTACCAGACGCGTGAACACATAATACGTGAATGCCCCTTATATGAGGACCAACGGGAGGAGCTCCGAAAAACCTCAAGGTCGCTATACTTGCCGGATATTCTCGGCACGAGGGAGGGAATCGAGGCACTAAGCCAGTTTATTGAGGACTCAGGGGCGTTCACAAGGACGGGAGAGCCACGAGCCCGAAGGGTGATGCCAGAATTCGAAGAGGACGAAAGAGAATGGTGGGAGGACGAAGAAGGGGAGTCGGAGGATGAACACGGATAACCCCCAGGAGGAAACATCCTCCCTGAGAGCAAACCATCACACCGAAACACGATGACGCTCGCTAAAACCACGGCCACGGCCACCCGCAGATCGAAAAGCACCCGCCCGAGCCAAGGGCAAATAAACACCTCACAAGTCCATTGCTATACTCCACACACAATGCCAACACGCCCGAGTTTGGAAAATAGAGTACTGAATGGAGGGATCAGGTGCAAGAGGGAGGAGGAAGCCTGAGCATCGGCCCCGCCACCGCGTCTCAGTAGATAGTTTACTTGTTGCGGTTAATTAAATGCAGAGTCCAAAAAAAAAAAGCGAGAGAGGGGGAATATTCACACGGTGGCTGTACGGAGGGCGACTTTTCAAAAACTGGGTGAAACGAACTGAGGCGTAGGCTTGGTTGCCGTTATCCTCTTTTGGGATTCACGCAGTGGCTATACGGAGGGTGAATTTTCAAAAACTGCGGGAGACACCCCCAAAAATGGTGGTAAGCCGGAAGGTATAACAAATCTGCCTTGGAGCAGAGGATCGCGAAGTCGCGTCAGGATAGTCCTGTCCCATTTCGTCGCCGGAAGTAGGGTATCTTCTGTCGCATCAAGAGATTCTGCGATACATTGGAGAGTTGGTCGATCTGAAGGTTCATAAGCCCAACATTTTTCCATGAGTTCCCACCATAAATCAGAAGATTTTAGTTGCCGCCAGGTATCTTGGGTGTGGAGGATGCTTCTTATGCACGCCGACATTCATGATAACGGCTCCATCAGTTAGGTCGCTCCAAGGCATTGTCCCATCGAATACCTTATAGTAGGAGGTCAGAGATCGGTGGGTATGGAAAGAAACATATAAGTACCTCAAAGTACACACACGCCAGCGAATATACATCGGCTGAAAAGCTGTTGGAACTGCCATTGAGGATCTCTGGAGCTTGCCATTTTACGGTACCACCCTTCCGCGATTGCTGATGAAGTTCCGAAAGTCGTAACACCCATCATGAAGGATATACCAAAATCGGCGATAATTGCTCTATGGTCGTTGGTAACCAGAATGTTATCCTATCTTGGTTAAGCACAATATATATTTGGAGGAAATGCTCTAGAACGCACCCCTTTTAGGTCACCATGAACGATGGACAGTTTATGTAGGTAGCCCATACCACGCGTAATGTCTAGAGCCTACTTGTTTGTCAGATACCAAAGAAACAGCGACTGACACAATTCTTACGAGCCGGTGCCGATTAGGAGTAGCAACATTGCTCAGATATTGACGGAGAGGTCCGTTGTCCATGAATGGCGACACCAGACAGTAGGACGAAGGAGCGGAATCGCGGTAGATGCCATAGAAAGGTAGGACATTGGGGTGATCGCACTGCCCCCATATAATGGCCTCTCGTCTTATTCTCTATAGAAAGAAATGTTATGATGATTCCTTGATTCGCGAGATAATAAGGCGACAGACCCGCAGGACTTTCTCGATATCACTATCACTTGTAAAAATCCTTGCTTGTTTGACAGCCACGTCCATTCCTGTGATCTTACCTCTCCATACGTCACCAAAATGTCCTCGAGCAAACGGATAAGCGCCCGTCTTTTTGAAGCCTCTGAGCAAGAGACATCGAGGTACACAGTCATGCATGCGCGATAATTTGAGAGAGGTCTTCAAAAATGTAGACTTGTATGAACATGGAAGACCCGACATATCTAGAAGCTAACCGATGCTAAGTTATTGATCAAGTTTTCTGTAGAAAACATTTCCTACATCCTGAAGAAAGTCTAAAGTGACTTGCGCTTGCTTGACAGTTAAATTTGATAGCTGGCTGTATATATCTGGTTTAGAAAGCGCTGTCACGACCTGCTTTGCCGTTTTGTCCGTGGTAACATCGAGGATATGCCAGGGCCCGGTTCTCGTCTGCATGCATCTAGAAGCACATTTACAATAGCCTGTTTATGAGTAACTAATATATAGAATATGTGAATAGAACCCCACCTCGTCCTTCAAGGCATCCGCAAGCGATCCAGAGACACTGCCTGTGTATCCCATTCTTGCCTCAACACTCTGAGGAAACGCAGAAACAGTGGGGAGGGTTGGTAATGGTTTACCAAAAAGAGTACTATCCGTTCCACTACTAACCAGTGCTTCGTTGTCGGCCACTATCTCATTGTCT